AAGAGCAGGACTCAGAAGTGTCATGAATTGGGGCGCCTGGGTGGCTCAGTGGGTTAAAGCCTCTGCCTTGGGCTCAGTCATGATCTCGGGATCCTGGGACCGGGCCCCGCATCCGGCTGTCTGCTCGGCGGGGAGCCTGCTTCCCCCTCTCTCTCTGCCTGCCTCTCTGCCTACTTGTGATCTCTCTCTCTGTCAAATAAATAAAAAATCCTTAAAACAAACAAACAAACAAACAAAAAAAAGAAGTGTCATGAGTTACAACCAAGGGAAGCTCTCCCCGGGATGCGAGGCTCAGAATTCAGAACTCGATCGACGCCATCCGCCCCAGCAACGATCTCAGAAGAAAGTCCACAGCACCGGACCCATCATCCAGAATAGGCATGAGATAAAAAGGAGACCTATTCCCATTTTTTTTTAACTCTCTGCAAACCGGGGATAGAGGGGAATTTCCTCGCCCTGGTTAAGGATGACTGATGCGTCTTTCCACTGTTAAGAGACAAGCTCTCCTGGATTTTTCTGCCACATACATTTAGCTCTAAGATGGGGCTTAACTCTGGGTCTGCAAGTCCAGGCTGGACTCGAGCAAAGCTTTATGTACGGGCCTCGGGGTCTGCAAGGACGGGGCGGGGGCAGACACTCCCTGGCCTGGGCTCGGATCCCGTCCAGATCTATACACTTGTCCTTCTCGGCCAGCACCTGTGTCCCGTGGGAGCTGCAGAGACACGCTGCAGCGGGATGCACAGACAGCAGGAGCTCCTTGGGACTGCCTCGCTCGCCCCCGACGGCCATCGGGTACAAGACTAGCCATACTCCAGATCCCTTGTTCCTGGCATGTCGTGGGGACTGGACTCGTGACCTGACCACCCCCACGGGCGCAGGACCGTGCCCAACGTTACCTGGACACACTTTCTAACGGGTCCCCTCTCACAACAGCCTCCCCTCCGGGCCAGCTTTGGCCGAACCCTCGGGTGACTTCCTCCTCTTCCTCCTCCCACTTCCCCATTCTCCAATCCTGTGTTTTCCTAGGAACACTGTCTCAACACACCGCGTGCACATCTCGGGGCCCGCCGCTGACGATCTAGGACAGGAGTCATAGGCGGCCATGGTCCCCCTTCCTCTTTCTTTCCTCCTCTCCTCTCAGAGCTCAAGAGCTGGGGCGAAGGACAGAGGAGTTCGAGGACAGGCCGGTGATCTCGTGTTGCGGTGGCCAGTGGCCAAGACGCTCTTCACAGCAGCATCCAACACGGCCTTTCGTGGGGTCTGCGGGTGGTGTCCCTGAGATTCCGAGGGGACCCTCTGCACCAGAGCAGTCCCTCAAGAGGAAGACGGGTTACGTGGCTGCAACGGCTGCCATCGGCTCCCGCCCCAGGGAGCAGCTGCCTCCCCAGGGTCTCCTTCAGCCTCCCTCTGCCCCAGCTTCTCCCTGGCGGGGTCCTCCCTGAATGGCTGCTGGCGCCCCTGGAGTCCACCAGGCTCTCCACCTTGTCCCTGCCAATAACCAAGAGCAGCCTGACCCACTCCCGCCTGGGGCAGCTCCAGCTGGTTCTTTGCCTGCAGAGGGCTCCTGGCAGGGGTGAGTCTCTTTCTCCATTATCAACCTCGAGACTCCTGGAGACACATCCACAGGCTCCCCGAGAGCTCCTCCCCTCGCAGACACCCCAGCTCTCCTGTGGTTCCCTTGGGACTCCGGCATCTGGCTAATGGCATGTGCAGAAGCATTCCCCTGCTCCAGATGGAGGCAGAAAAGACCCCTGGTACAAGCCCTGCCCAGAGGCATTCGGCTCCTCTCCGCTGGAAAGGCCTGGCATGATCAACGATCCCTCTCAGCTTTGGGAATGCCGCCAAATTTCTATAAAAACAGGAAAAGTGTCCCTTAATCTCTCATGTGGCCGTGTCATTTTTCTTACTTCCTTAATCAGGCTTTGCAAAGATTTTATTCTTTTCACATGAGTGTTTTGGTAAACAGATTTTTTTTTGCTAAGAGGGTAGGAAAGACAAGCTACAGAGTTGGAGAAAATATTTGCAGACCACACACCCAACAAAAGACCAGAATACATAAAGAATTCTCCGAACCCCACTCGGTGAGGAGATGACGCGTGGAGGCTCTAACGTCCCGTCCCGTCGCATTCACTCATTGATTTGCTCTCAGAAGACGCTCAGATATAGGTATTGAAGGAAATTATTCAAACGGCCCAAAAAGACTTTCTAAGCTTTTCGAATAAATTCAAGCAACTACAATTATACAATGAGATATATCTTTTAAAAAAGAATTCTCAAAATCCAACAGTAGGAAAACCCAAGAATCCGACTAGAAAAATGGGCCAAAAACCCACAAAGAGACATTTCCCCTAAAGACGATATGCAGATGGGAAATAAGCATGTGACAGGATACCCTGTGCCATCAGCCATCCAGGAAACCCAAGAAATGGCAGCGATGAACCAACACACTTACCAGAATTTAAAAAATGAATGGTAGCAGCCAAACACAGGGGAGGCTATGGACAAAGGGATCGTTCACGTGCTGGTGGTCGGGAGGGACAGAAAATGAGGTGACCACTCGAGAAAGCAGTTGGGCACTTTCTTCTGGAACTCAACATGTGACCACCTTGTGACCTTGCATATTTATCCCAGAAAAATGAAAATTTGTGTATACATAAAAATCTGTGCATAAGGAGCGCCTGGGGGGCTCAGTTGTTAGGCGTCTGGCTTCAGCTCAGGTCATGGTCCCAGGGTCCTGAGATCGAGCCCTGCATCGGGCTCCGGGCTCAATGGGGAGCTTGCTTCCCCCTTTCCCTCTGCCTTCTGCTCTCTCTCTCTCTCTGTCAAATAAATAGATAAAATCTTTTTTAAAGAAGCTTAATTTTTTAAGTATTTATTTTAGAGAGAGAGCTGGGGGAGGGGCAGAGAGAGGGGGAGAGAAACAGACTCCCCGCTGAGCAGGGAGCCCTACTTCCCAGGACTCAATCCCAAGACCTCAAAATCATGACCAGAGGCAAAATCAAGAGCCAGATGCTTAACCAACTGAGCCATCCAGGTGCCCCAAAAGCTTAATTCTTAAAATGGGTTTTAGCTTTACCCATTTTACCAGTCTGGGGAATCTTCTAATATTTTGTATTAAATTCTCTCCTCTTACTATATTTGGGTTATATTGTAATTGACTTTTTCTGATTTTTTTAAGTTGAATATTTGGTTTATTTTCAGTGTTTAGTTTTCAGCTATAAAAACATGAGGTTGTGCACTCCTGGGTGGCTCAGTCAGGAAAGCATCTGTCTTCAGCTCCGGTCATGATCCCAGGGTTCTAGGACCCTCGCTGGGTTCCCTGCTGAGCAGGGTGTCTGCTTCTCCCTCTCCCTCTGTCTCTGTCCCTGACTCGCTCTCGCTCACTAGCTCTCTCTCAAATAAATGAATAAGATCTTTTTAAAAAATGAGATTGTACATTTTCCTCTGGGCCAGGCTTTTGCTGTGTCCTATAGGTTTTGATATGTTTCTTTCTTTTCTAGATAATTTTCACTTTGCATCTTGGTGATAATAGGATAGCGTCTCTTCATTTACAAACAGCTAAGCTGTCATGGTTCTCTTTTTGTTATTTATACGTAATTTTAATTTTAATAAGAGAATGCAACCTTAAAAAATAATCTCTCCTTTGGGGGGTGCTTGGGGGGCTCAGTCGGTGAAGTGTGACTCTTGATCTTGGAATTGTGAGTTTGAGCCCCATGTTGGGCACAGAGATTACTTTTAAAAAATTGACTTTAAAAAATTAACTTTAGATTTAAAAAAACTTTAAAAATTAAAAAAAATTTATCTTTCCTTTTGGCATGTGTTCAGGTCTTCCTCTGATAGATTACTGTGGCAAAATTGCCTCTAAAAGCACAGTATAAGCAAGTTTTGTTTTTGCTTATTATTATTCTAGGAAGCTGTTGGCGCCGCTACACTTTCACTCCGCGCATCTCTCAGAGACGGTTCTACTTACGAGAGTTCCACTCACAACTGAAACACGCTCGGGTTTACTCTCTCCACAATGAGTCATCCTAATAACTCAAAGGAACAGAAGATTCTGTGTGTGGCCATTTCCGTTTTACTTTGTCTTCCTTTACTTTCCCATCTTGCCTTAATATAAGGTGACTTTGATAACCCTGATGAACCAATATTGACTCTTTTTTTGTTTTTTTTTGTTTTGTTTTGTTTTAAAGATTTTATTTATTTATTTGACAGACGGAGATCACAAGTAGGCAGAGAGGCAGGCAGAGAGAGAGGAGGAAGCAGGCTCCGCGCTGAGCAGAGAGCCTGATGCGGGGCTGGATCCCAGCACCCTGGGATCATGACCTGAGCTGAAGGCAGAGGCTTTAACCCACTGAGCCACCCAGGCGCCCCTCTTTTTTTGTTTTAAAAAATCTTCACCGTCTCGAACTCAAGAGAGTCACATGCTCTACCGCGTGAGCCAGGGGGAGGCCCCTTGATATGTTGTTATTAACTAAAGTCTGTGGTTTGCTTCATGGGTCACTGTGAGAGAGAGCACAGCAGAGGAAGCGGCAGAGGGAGAAGCAGGTTCCTGGCTGAGTGGGGAGCCCCATGCGGGACTCAATCCCAGGACCCCAAGATCATGACCTGAGCTGAAGGCAGATGCTTTACCAACTTAGCCCCCCCGGCGCCCCAATCCTGTGGGTTTTGACTCACGTGTAATGACATGTATCCATTAGTAGAGTATCCTATAGGATAGTTTCACTCCCTAAAAATTCCCCGAGTGCCGCATACTCATCCCTCCCTTCCTCGCTGGAACCCCCTGGACCCACTCGTCTGTCTCCTGAGTTTCGCCTTTTCCAGAATGTCATAGTGTGGTTATCCTAGAGAACATAGTGTCTCTGGGGGTCTGGGATGCTTACAGCTCCCCCTCCGATCCGTCTGGACCCCTTCCCTCTATTTTTCCTTTCTTCAAAATCCCCAGTCCGGCTGCAGAGAGCTGGGGGCGGGGCAGGGGGCGGGGCAGGGGGCGGGGCGGACCCCTAGGCCGTGATGTTCCGCCTCATCTCGCACACCCAGCGCTGCACCTGCTTGCAGAAGTTGTCGTTCCAGCGACCGTTGGCCCGGAGTTCCGCGCAGTCTTCGCCTCCACCCACCTCGTGCCCCTGCCAGTCATCGGGCTGAGTGGCCGCCCAGTTCCTAGGAAGGCAGGACGGAGCTCAAGCTCCCAGCCCTACCCCTGCCACCCCCACCCCCACCTCAGAAAAGCACAGCGGAGGAGGAGGGGTTCAGGGAGCAGAGGCAGCAGCCTAGGAGGGAGAGGTTCGGGGAGCCTGGTCGCGGGTGGGGGGGGGTGGCAGTGTCTTGGGGCGAAAGACCAGGGGGCTGGCCCCAGGCCAAACCAACAAGACAGAAGGAGGCCACTCACTTGTAGCTCTGCTCATAGTCGGTGCCATCCACCCATTTCCAGGAGCCGTCGCTGTCCGTGAGACCTATCCAGGCATCGAAGGGGTTCGTGTGTTGCATAATGAACTTCTGGAAAACAGGCAGGGAGGAAGGTTCTGGTACACTGAATGTCCATGCCTCCGCCTTGTCGAGCTCCCTCTGCCCCCGGCTGAGGAGTCCGCTCCCAGCACAACTATTCTTGCCTTTTCTCCTGGAACTGGAGCCACCGCTGAGTGGAACTTGGCGGGGCCACACCTCGTGCTAAGTGCTTTCGGAAGGTTGTCTTTTTCGGTCCTTCGAGAGCTCTCTACATTGGGTGCTCTGGCGATTTGCACTTCACGGGTGAGGTTAGGAAACTCGAGGCAGTTGGTCAAGCCCAGGAATCCCAGTACCGGGGTTCGTGACTGCTGTCCCCTGACCTGGCGCCCCACTTCATTCCCAGCACAGAGCTGCTACCCCGGACTCCCATCTTCTGGCATCTTCTGCCCACGACCTCGGACTCTCGGAATCCTGACTCTGGCCCCTGCTGCCCTCACGGACTCCAGAACCCATTGTGGATCTCAGCTTCGCTCACCTCTCGAGGGCAGGTGCCCCTGGTCTGGCTTCTCTGGGTAGCTGTGCTCTCTGGAGTTTTGCTGGGCAGGGGCTTCTAAGCTTGGACCCACTGCCCAAGGCCCCATTATGACTTGGCTACATTGGGGTCCACAGTCTGCTGGCAATGTGTGAGGGCAGGGCAGGGGGGAGGAGGTGGTGTCTGAGACAGTCCCCTGGGACTCACACACACACACCCCCAAGGACAACAGACCCCCACGTGGCTTTCTCTTACAGAAGGGACTGACGTCCCAGGGTTTGGGAGGGTAGCATTGGGAGGGTATAGAGGAAACACAGGCTTGGCTTGGCTAACATACACGCCAAGCCCTTCCCTTGATGTGCAGGGTCTACAGTCCCATTTGGGGGGAAGTTTCCCAATTCCATTCACTTCCTAGAGATCCGATCATGATCGCGGACAACCTCACTGGAGCACAGGTGTGGCAGCACCCTCGAATTCTAGAATCCTGCCAACGAGACAGTGTCCTGTGCCTGAGGAGCGACCCTCAGAGGCTGGCGGGCCTGCCTCACAAATTCAGAGGACTCAACAGAGCTGGAGGGAAAGTGCCGGAGACCAGATATTCTATTTGCTGCCACCTGTTGCCCCTGCCCCCTCTTCCTGTCACCTGTGCAGCTGATGAGCTGAACGGAGTACAAATCACCAAATTTCCGGGGGCTATCCAGCCCTCTGTGGTGAAGACGGAGGGGAGGGATCAATAGTGCCAGGTGATCGGAGAAGATGGCCCAGGAGAATTCATCTTCCCTATTCCTGGGTAAGTAACAGGCAAGAAAGAATTGTGCCCATTTATAAAATGGTGGCATGGGAATTTAAATTTATGAATTTAAATTAAAGAATTTAAATAAATTCTTAAAAAAATAAAATAAATAGGGGCACCTGGGTGGCTCAGTGAGTTGAAGCTGCTGCCTTGGGCTCAGGTCATGATCCCAGGGTTCTAGGATCGAGCCCCGCATCGGGCTCTCTGCTCAGCAGGGATCCTGCTTCCTCCTCTCTCTCTGCCTGACTCTCTGCCTACTGGTGATCTCTCTCTGTGTGTCAAATAAATAAATAAAATCTTTTTAAAAATAAATAAAATAAAATAAATAAAATTGTATTTGAGAATTTAGAAAACCTACATTTACGAATTTAGAGGCTGCTCCTGGCCCTGGAGGGAAACCGCAGAGAGAAGGCGCAACACGGAGATATATCTGGGCAAGGCTAATGAGATTCAGAGACAGAAAAGGCTCCAACTACTCCGGCAAAACGCTTGCAGAATCTCAGAGAAGAGAAGGAGGCACAATAAACTTCAAAGTTGCTAAGAGACTAGATCTTCATTGCTTTCTGCACTAAAAAAGTGAGAGTTCTGAGATGGGCTAAGGGTGTTAGCGGATGGTGCTGGAGTGATTCTGTTGCAACATGAGTGTCAAACCAACACATTGTGCCCTCGAACTTCTGTGTTCTATGTCAGTCACATCTCCGTTTTTAAAAAAAGAACAAGGCAGGGCGCCTGGCTGGCTCAGTCACTAGAGCGAGCCACTCTTGATCTCAGGGTCATGAGTTCCAGCCCTAGACTGGGCCTGGAGCCGCCTTACCAACAAACAAAAAACAGGAGACCCGTGAAGAACACAGGAGGACCGGTTTCCTCGTCTTTCATACGGAAAGTTGTATGAACTCTTTGATTTTCGGAAGCCGATACATTTCAGCCCATCCTTTAAAATGATCGAAGTAATCACTAGTATGGCCCAAAACAAGCTACATCTAGTTCAACATACCGTAGGGGAGAAAACAAAAAGAACACATCTCACACAGCAAAGGCGAGAAAAGAGAAGAATATCGACAGGGGAAAAAAAAAGAGAGGCTGGAGATGAAACATGCCTGTTAAAAACGAATGCAAATGAGAGACACATCTATTAAAAGAGAAGAAGACGCTTCTTCGGTTTTTAAAAAAATCAGAAACCAAACGTATTCACAACCCGTAGAAGAAATCACGCACGCGCACGCGCGCACACACACACGGTTTCCTTGGTCCCCTCATATCTCCCTCCCTCGAAGGGGTAAGAGTGGCCGCCCCGGTGGGGCCGTGAGGGTTACGGGTTATTTTACAAAAGTGCCTGGCACAGAGCAAAGCCTCAGCCACTGTTACCATCACATCCTCCTTTTCTGAAAAATGTCCCCCCCTTATCCTAACAGCTTGGCTGTCCCCTATGAACTCTGGTGTTCAGGCTTGTGGCTGGTGGTGGCCATGGGCAGGGGAGACCTGGAACGCCTTGGAGGCACCCAGTAATCCGCAGCAGGTGTGTCCCTGGGAACCCTGCCCACTGCGTCCCTTGCTCTCAGGGACCACTCAGCCCACATCCAGCAGGAAGGGACTGAGCTCTCCACCCAAGCCCTTTGCCCTACAGCTCGTTGCTTCTGGAATTCTGTCCCCTCGCCTGCCTCGGGTCACCGGCTCACCTGGCTCCTGCCCCTTTGCCCCGAGCTCTTGGCCTTAACAATGTCCCCCGTGCTAGAATCATTGGCGGCTTCGCCATGAACTTCCTGGGGCTCTCCCAGGCCTCTGCCTCCCGGCTCTCCCTTTGGTTAGAGACCAGGAAGAAAGCAGGCCCACCTGCTCCTCCCGGGAGTTGATGACCACCAGGTGCGCACTCTCCAGCCGGCAGTACCGGTCGGCGTCGGCCCACGTCTTCCCGGAGCGGGAGAACCAGTAGCAGCTGCCCTCGTACTCCAGCCAGTTGACAGGGCAGCACTGCGTGCCTGGGCGTCGAGGGGGACAGGGAGGTGAGACACAGTGGCGGCGGGCGCAGGCCTGCTGTGGCGGGGGTCCCCTCCGTCCCTACCGTTGCTGCGCACGAAGGCCATCTGACAGGCGAGGATGCGGAGGTCCACGGGGAAGTGCTTCACGTGCAGCAGCAGGGCGGCGTGATCTAGGGCACCGCACGGGGGGCGGGATGCTGGCGCTGCGGGACCCACCAGCCGCGACCCCACCCCAGAGGGCGAGCCAGCCTCGGGCTGGGGACACGCGGGGTGCACACACAGTGGGGGGGGGGTCTCTGACCTGCTTTCAGATCCTTCTGCTGCTTCTCCAGCTTGGCCTCCAGAGAGTTCAGCTGCTGACCGGCGCTGCCCCCTGAGGAGGAGGAAGGCTCAGCCATTCTCCCCCCTCTGCCTCCTTCACTCCCCTGCATCCTGCCCACCCGAGCACCTGGGGAGGCCGCCGCTCCCTCCGCCCCCGGCTTCCCCACTCGCCCCCACCCCCACGGTGGCCTCTGCAGCAAGTCCCCGTGTTCTTGGTACAGAGCCTCGCTTCATTGCTTAGTGCAGTGCCCGCCTGGGAAACCGGCCCTCACCCGCCTCTCTGCCCGGCCCTCACCCCTTCGCCCCTGCCATGCCACAAGGGGTCACACTCCCGAAACGGAGGGTGGGCTTTCTCACCTCCTGGCTTTGCGGATTCTGTTCCCTTTACCTGGCACTAACCCCCATGGTTTTCACCCGCCTAGTCATCCTTCCGGCTCCGTCCTCCCAGTGGTCAGCGTCCCTGGAAGCCTCGCCCCCTTCTCAGGCTGGGTTCCCGACGGCCCGGGCAGCCCGCACAAGCCCCTCCTGCAGGCCCCACACGGGCGCCCAGCACGCAGCGTGGCAAACCCACGCGTGCGGATAAGCCGCAGCCGCTGCGGCACGGAAGCCCCACGCACCGTGGAAGAGGAGGGTGCTGATCTCTGACAGGACCCCATTGGAGAAGTGGGTGAAGTTTTCTTTTAGGACCCGCAGCTCCTCTTGCAGCTGTGCTCCTGGCCAGGAGGCAGGGAACAGGACAAAGCGAGGAGGGCTGCGTCTTGCCGGACAGCCCCAGCCTGTCCACGCCCGCCCCCCCAGCCCCATCACCGCCCCCAGCTGTCCCAGCGCTTCCCCTTTCTGCCCCTCTCTGAGCTCTGCGAGCTCTTGGACCCCCCCCCACTGTGCTCCCCCCCGCCCCCGCTGGCCCCTGCGACCCTCACTTTGGGACCCAATCACACAGACGGCCACCAGCAGCAGGACGTTGAAGCCGAGGACGAGCAGACTGAGTCGGAACGTGGAGCAGACGCGCTGCAGAAGGGCGGGGCTCTGAGGCCTCCCTACGGGGAAGGGGTGTCAGAAGAGGGGCCTGGGGTGTCAGGAATCCGGAGAGGGGACATATAGGAGCACCCAGGGGACCAGAAGTCTGCGGAAGCACAGCCCGCGCGGGCAGCAGGAAAGTAGACTGGGAGAGGTGCTACTTGTGGCAGAGTCCCGGTGCTTTGACCCCAGGGGTCAGGCATCGCACACACATGCATTTGCACACTTGCTGCCCCCATGAACACACACAGACATGCACACACATCAACACAGGTGTGCGCAACACAAAGTTCATGGCCCACAATACTCACATCATCTGTGTGCAAAGCCCGCAACCGCACCTGGGGGCCCCGGAGGCCAGCACCGTGTTCTTCTTGCGGTCCATGCCAGGGCCCCTCAGACATGTCCCAAAGCACAACACACCCCTCATCCCTTTTGTGCGGCTCACTCCACCGCGGCTGCGCATGGCTCCCCAGGATCCGCGCTCCCAGCCCCGCCCTGTCTCCCCTCACTTCCCTCTGCCCTGGGGCCCCCAGAACCCCCAGCTGCATGGCCAGCTCTCGCCTCTAGCCTCAGCCTCCTCACAGAAGCCTCTCCCTGCCCTTGGCCACTGGAACCCCAACCCCCCCACACACGTGCACATGCTTCTCTCATTTCACTGTCATGCTCAGTGCTGTGCACACACTCACTGAGGCACACTCGTGGCCCCCAAAACGGCTTCTGCCACCTTCGCTTTGGGACCCGATCACACAGCTGGACCCCACGTTGACTCAGAGAGACCATGTCTCTGATGTGCACTGCCCGCTCCCCTCTCTGCGCACAGCCTCCCCTGTGCACACCCTTCCCTTCACACCCTCTCCTCCCCGGGCATCTCTCCATGCAGAAGCCCTGCCTGACCACGGTCTTCCCCACCCAGCCAGGGCCCCATGGCTGAGTCCCGACCGTTCTCTCAGCTGTGTCCCGCTGCCGCTGCCCTGCTTCCCAACCTGACCTATGATCTATAAACCCCCATTCCGGGCCACCTGCACCTCCACTCTGAAGCCAGACCTCCTGTGGTTGAGTCGAGCCATGCCACCAACTGGCTCTGAGATCATGGGCAAGTCACTCAACCGTTTGGTGCCTCAAATTTTCTCATGTCCACTTCTAGTATCTAAAATAGCCAGACTCAGGGCACCTGGCTGGCTCAGTGGGTTAAAGCCTCTGCTTTCAGCTCAGGTCATGATCCCAGGATCCTGGGATCGAGTCCCACATCGGGCTCTCTGCTGGGCAGGGAGCCTGCTTCCTCCTCTCTCTCTGCCTGCCGCTCTGCCTCCTTGTGATCTCTGTCTGTCAAATAAATAAATAAAATCTTTTTAAAAAATAAAATAAATAAATAATAAAAAAGCCAGACTCACAGACAGGGTCTAGGAAAACAGGAGCCGTTGTTCAATGGGTATGAAGTTTTGGTTATGCAAGACGCGGTAGGTCCAGACATCTGCCGTTCCATCCTTACACCCGCATTGTCTCTAACAAGGTGCCATGGCACATGGAGACGCTGGTGAAGGTGGCAGGACTCATGCTGGGTATTCTTACCACAGCTTTTCAAAACGGGGGTAAAAGAGTAGCGACCTGATTGGACTGTCCAGAGAACAAAATGAGGTCACACATAAAAAGCGCCGGCCGGGCAAGTTGGAAGGTAGAAGGGTCTGCCAGACATGGAAACATGGAGGCTAGATCACCCTCTCCGCCAGCAACAACTGAGACCAAAACAAAAGCAAAAACAAAAACAAAACAAAACAAAAAAACAAGAACAACAAAAACCCCAGACAACTACGAGAAGCCATCTTTTTCAAGACACCTGAACCGCAGGCAACAAAGGGCATGGATCCCTGAGAGATGGGGGACAACCGGATAAGCCCGATGGTCCCCCGGCCACTGCTAGGGGAGTTTCCAGCCAGGCAGCGGGGAGGGAAATCCAAGCAGAGCCCAGCAGACTCCCCGAGCTGAGGAAATGGAACTGAGAGTAAGGGGAGACCATGGTGGCAGAGGTCATGGGACAGGGTGTCAGAGAGGAGAGAGCTGCCCATAGAATCGTGGAGGTCTGCAGAGGGTTCCCCCCATCCCAAGAAACCGCTGAGTACTGACCAACATGTCAGGAAAATTATCCCAGGCAGGACAAAACCAAACCAGAAGGGCTGGGGAACAGAGCCTCGCACTCATACATGTCGGGGAACGGTGCTACGGGGGAGCTTCGGGCCGCCTAACAAATCATAAAAACAGGGGCGCCTGTTTCACTCAGTCAGAAGAGCGTGAAGCTCTTGATCTCGGGGTTATGAGTTCAAGCCCCAATTTGGGTGTAGAGATTACTTAAAAAGTTAAATAAACTTAAAAAAAAAAGTAACAGCTTTTCTTAAAAAAAAAAAAAGTCACAAAAGCAAAACAAAAAGGATCAACCTGATTCCATGTTGCTTGACGGCACCCCAGAACAAAGCTGGAGAATATCTAGAGGGATACAAACATATCTAGCACACAGAGCGGTAAAATTCACAATGTCTAACCCACAGTCGAAGATTACCATGCATGCAGAGACAGGAAAACCCAACTTCATACTGGGAAGGTTAATAAATGTATCAAAACAGACCCAGAATGGACACAAGTGTGAGAATTAGCAGACATGGGACTTTACAACAGACATCGTAACTGTATGTTGTTCAGAAACATATGTACAAGTCAAGGAAGATATTGAAAGTCCCAGGTTGAACTTCTAGGCTTGAAAACTACAATGTCTGAAATGGAAAATACATGGGGTAGAATTAGTGGACGGTTAAACGTCAGTATAGACACAGCAATAGCAACTATCTAAAAAGAAACACTGAAAGAGAAAAAAATTTAAAAAAAAAAACAACAGAGGGAGCATCCGTGAACTCTGGGGACATGAATCCCAGCATAACTACATTTCTGGAAGGAGAAGGAGCAGGGTGGGGGGCAAAAAAAGGGGTTTTGAGGAAACAGTGGCTGAAACATTTCCATACTGGCGGAAAGCCCCGGGCTTCTGGAGTGCTGGGAGGAGCAGAAGCCTGTCTTGGAAAAGCAGGTGCCTCAGTCTCCTGCCTCGCGGCCATCGGGTCTTTTGGGGTGAGCTCCCCATCTCTGTGAAATCCAAAACCTCTTGACTCTGTCCAAGCCTCCTGCTTAAACCGTGAATCCTCTCGCCCTCAGAAGATCCGATAGTATCCAACATCATTCCGAGAGCTAACCACACACCTGGCATCACGTGGGCACTGAGGACACATAGGGAGTGACTCATGTGGCCCCTGGCCACCCCCAGCTCACTCCTTGGGAAAAGAAAAGCTGTGGGTGGGAACGCCTGTCCCCCCTGCTGCCCTCGCCCTAATCAGCGCCCACCCGCCCCTACAGCAGTACCAACCCTCCTGCTGTGTGCCAGCCTCGGGCATGAGGGCCCCCTTCCCAACCCAGGGTAACCAACCCCCCACCCTGAGCTCGGAGCCCCAACCCTCCGGTCTCCACGGAGCCTCACCCCATCACCAGACCCCCTCCCGGGCTCCCGGCTCCTGCCCCTCAGCCCAGATCTCTCTTGCCGGAAAACATTTCCTAGACACTTGGAGCCTTCCTTCGGGACTTGCTAGGGAAGGATCTAGGCAGGGCGCTTAGGGGAGTGGGGGTCTGCTGGGAACTTTCTGTGCCCTTCCCCGTCCACCAACCTTCCCACATACACACTGTCCTGCCTGCATGTGCTTTCCTCGCACACACAGGCATGCACACACACGGCACACACGTGCACACACACTGCTCAGGCTGGGAGGAAGGAGGACAGAGTCATCTCCAGCTTCCAGTGTGCCCTGACCCTCAGGGCGAACACCCTTCCCTCCTTCCCTTGGATCCCCGAGGGAGAGGAAGGTGAGGACAGGGGACCAGCAGAGGAGATGGGCCTCCTCCACCTAGAGAAGCCCGGTGCCTTGTCTCGGCTGAATGTGACCTCAGAGGGACAGCGAGCGATCCACAGCCAGACGGAGGGGAGCGAAGCCCCAGAAACGGACACTCACCTACGTAGAACTGGTCTCCTCTCCTGGGGTTGTGCGCACGCGGGCCCGGGCCCTCCCCTCCAGGAAGCTGCTGGTCATTGTCCCCGGTGTCCGGCTGCCGGATGGCCATGCCGCGCCCTGGGCTGGAGCTGGGTCGGACTGACGCTCTCTTGGGGCAGGGGCTGAGCTCGGGGCTGAGGCCTGTGCTAAGAGGCTGCTTCGGGCAGAGGCCGATGATGGGGCTGGAGGCGAGCGGGCCAAGGCCACCACCAGGGCTGGGTCAAAAGGGGGAGGTCAGTTTGGGGTGGAAATACAGCTGGGACCAGTCCCTTCTCAGGAGACTGCTCAGGCCTTGACGTGGCCAGGAGCCTCCCTTCCATACTCTCACGGACCGAACCAACCCCTCCTCCATCCAGCCCCCGCCGTCCCCGAACTAGGGTCTCCTCGTTACCCGATATCCCCAGCCCCACCGGCTGCCCAGCAGGGGTTACCTGTAAGAGGTGTGGAGGACTAACTCCCGGGTCCCTCGGGTGGCCCAGGCCCCAGGGCGAGGAGGGGCTAGGGCGAGAAGTGGAGCAGGTGGCACCAGGAGGGGCCGTCCCCGTGAGGTCCCTGAGCCCGTGTGTCCTGGTGTCCGAGTGGTTCTAACCTGGCGTCTCCTGCCCCCAGGACTTTGGACAGTAAACAGGAGTGGAAACGGGGTTGGAACTCGGGCAAAGCATGGCGGGGGCGGGGGACACGATGGTCTCTGTTCTTCCCAGAGAAAGGGGTCTCCTGGCCTGCCCCGGCCACCCCCGCGTGCCGGCCACCTCGCTCCTCACCGCACAGTTCGGAGGGGTCCAGGCCAGGAGGGGCTGGGATGCAGGTCACCTGTCCCCCTGCCCCCTCCCCGCTCTCCCTCTCTGCCCCCGGATTTCCCATTGTTGCTGGTGTCTCCAGATGTCCCCAGCAGGGATCCGAGGGGCCGGTTCTCTGCTCTTGCCCAACGTGCGTGCAGGGTCTGCAGCCAGCCTCCCCAGCTCTGGGCAGGGTCACCTCGCTCTCCCGGGAATAAAGCTCCTCAAGGGCCCGCAGCTTGGGGGGAGGAGGCGGGAGGCATCCCTCCCTGGGCCTAGGGATCCGACCTCACCAAGCCCCTTCCGTGGCCCTGGCAACATGAACCTTCTGACCCTCGCCCAACGGCTGCTGGCCAAGGGCAGAGTTTCTCCTGTTCAACAAAGCCTTCGTGCTGAAAAGGGAATGAGAGGCCTGTGTGTTCTGGTGGTAACTTTCTGACACACACAGTAACCCTCCGTGAGGGACACAGACACACGCACTTGTGTGTTTTACTTTCTTCTGAATCCCGGGCTCCTGGTGCACAGTGGGCACTCAACGAGTACTTACGAGTACTTACGGCAGGAATGAGGGAGAGAACGGAGTCTCACGTTATTGACAGGAGGGTTCCGTCCAGCAATGTTACCTTCGCTCCTTGCGTCCTAGTTCGTGACCAGCCGAAGCGAGTTTCCCAGTCCACTCATGGGCCACTACTCGAAGTCTGGAAAACACTGCTAGGAGGCCCCGGTCTTAGCGGGATGTGGTTTTTGTTCCAAAATCTATTTTTTTTTCTTTTAAGATTTTATTTATTTATTTGACAAACAGAGATCACAAGTAGGCAGAGAGGGAGGGGGGAAACGAGCTCCCTGCTGAGCAGAGAACCCGATGCGGGGCTCGATCCCAGGACCCCGGGATCATGACCTGAGCCAAAGGCAGAGGCTTAACCCACTGAGCCACTCAGGCGCCCCATGTTCCAAGATTTAGGTAAGAGCACACCAAGTGGATTTTCTGCTGCAGGCCAAGGTTGACTGACGGCCATGTGGGCATGGAGGGTTCCTCACTGGCCACACACTTCAATGGAACTGATTCTGAGTTGCGGGGTTCGATCCCCGTACCCCCTCCTGGGGAGAGAGGGCAAGGACTATGAGAGACATCCTCTGCCTCCTTCTCTTTCTCCCTGTTTGAAAGTCAGCATCTTAATTTACCAAAAGTCAGAGTAAACTTTCTGAAGGTTTCATATGGTCTTGTCATTTTTTTGGTTGGCTTTTTCTGATTTGGGTTATGGAATCCTGTTTTATTACTCCTGAGTTCATGATACGCCATATTCTCCCATCTCCTGTCCTACTTTCCTTCCTCCATCCAGTTTCCCAAACCAATTCTACTCTCCACAGGCAGCCAAAATGGCGCACTTGCTTATGTGACGGTGTCGAAGAGGGTGGCCATCAGCTTCCGCCCCCGCTGTACTTGCAAGTCCCACCACCCATCCATAGCTAGAGTCTGTTTTCCCTCCCCTTGCATCTGAGCTAACAGCATGACTTGCCGTGGCCAGTAGAAAGTGCTAGAAGGGACACTCTGCCGGTTCTGGGCCCAGCCTTCAGAGACCCAGAAGGTCCAGCTTTCAGTCTTGGACACCAGTCACAGGCTTTAAGGAAGTCCCGCTCTCCTGCTAGACAGAGACAGAGAGACAGAGAGAGACCACACAGAGGAGCCCTGAGGCCCGGGGGCTTCTGGGAGCTCCCAGCCCAGCCCCGCCAACCGCTGAGTGCCCCCAAGCATGTAACCCCAGGCCAATACAACGTGGCCACCAGGCCTCGCTCTGCCCAAATTTCTGGCCTCCGAGAATCTTAAGAAATGATGCATAGTCCTTTATTTTAAGCCACTGACGTTGGGGCTGGTGTGTTATATATCCGTAGGTAACACAAAGTGTTTCTATGTCTCAGTAAGAATCATTCTAAAACATGGGGTGGCTTTTGTGTGTCTCTGCTCTAGACGTAATCGGACCTCCCATAAACCTTTTGTTCCTAACCTTCTTCACCTAGCAACAAATGTCTAAGATCTGTCCATGTTGCTATTTGTACATCTGGCTTGTTGCCAGGAACCCATGCGTGGTAGGCGCTGGCACGGATCCATCATGGTTTATTTCCACAATGCCCCAGCCGTAAACCCTAAGATGTTGCCAACCCCTGGCCACCACGATTAACACCGCAGTGAAGGTTCTCATGATGCTCCCATGAAGACCTACACGAGAAGTTCTCCTGGAACCATATCCAAGAATGAAATTGCTGGGTCCCAGACAATTCCTCCGCCTCGTTCCAAGCACAGGCACATTTTTGCATTTATGAGATCGTATCCACAGTATTATTTTTTTTTGTAGTAGTAGTAGTCTTTGCTCCCTTTCTTTCTTTGCTTGCCGGGTCCTCTGCCTCCCTTACACATCCCCTCAGAGCATCGTCCATCCCTGCTCCTTCTATGAGAATATTAATAAGCCAGAAGTTATCTTTCTGTCTTCTCTCTGCTATAAAAGCTTCATCATGTTCCTGGGCGGCTCTGGAGGAGACCTTCCCTGCAAAGTACACCCAGGGTCAAGTTAATGAATCACAACTTCTCAGCTGCTGCCAGTCTTCTGCTGTCCTCCTGCTTTCTTATTCCACATTTCTAGAGAAGAGGGGGCTTGGACACTTCCTCATCTTTGCGCTAATCACTTGGGTTTCCCCTTGTGTGTGTCACTTTCTCATACCTATTTTCCTCTTGGGTTCCTCTTGAACCCACATCGTGGATTAACCAGAATTTCCGGTACCTTCTATTCCAGATACTTGTTCAGAGAGCAAGAAAGATCTTTCGAAAATTAAAAAAAATAATAATAATATTGCTACTAACTAAAAAGTTAGTAGGAGCTTTGGAAGATACATTTTCAGAAAGTTCCAGAAAAAGAGAGGGAGAGAGAGGGAGCGAGAAAGACCGAAAGGACGGAGACAAAAAGAAAAAATGAGGAAACAGCTAAACTGGGAGACTTTTTTCCTTGGCTTCATGCTTCTGTGGTTATTTCTCAGCAGGGAAAGTCTCTGCGTCTCCCCCAGCCCCTCACTCCCACACCAGGGAGAAAGCCTGCTTTGGGGAGCTGCTTTCCACCCACCGTGTAATCTGCCCTCTGCCCAGGGCGGCGGGGGTGGGGGCACCTGGCCACAGGGCCGACGGCGTTGCGTAGTTCTTGGATGAAATCTTAAATAGTCCTTTTGATTTAAGGTTTGCTTTGTTTTATTGGTTCGTTGGTTTTGATTTTAGGTTTTAAGCCAAATCTACCTTTCACTGCTGATCAGCAATAAAGCCAACACTCTACGCTGGTTTCAAGCTTCGCAGGAGAACAGGCTCTTCTGTCATTAGCCCCGTAGGACCTCCACAGGTAACATAAAGGACCAGCGTGGGGAGCCAACCTCCCCCTCATGGGAGTTCTAGTAGGAAAAGCAGGAAGTCGAAGCAGGAAAGTTACCAAAGAAATAATGCAAGAAAGTTCATTAGAATTAAAATGTTAAATTAAATGTTTTTTTAAATTTTTTAATTAACATTAAAAATGTTAATCAAAATTAAAATGCTCCAAATTCAGATAAGCTAGAATGGCTCAGCTTTCCACTGAAGAATGACCCAGCACGCACCGTCGTGAAATTTCAGAATCCCGGGGACGGGGAGAAGGTTCCGGAAGCTGCTGGAGAGGGAGAAAAGTCAGCTACAAAGAAACAAGGATGAGCACGGATCGCGCTCATCAGCTGTTACATTCAACCCGGGGGGACGCCACTGCAGTGGTGCACGCGCTCCAGCTTCCGGTGGAAATTGCCTTCTCCAAGAACGGCAGAGTCAAATGACCATCGTGGTCAGAGAGTAGAATCAGCCACTTCCAGACCTGTCTATGCCAGAGCATTTACCTCCTACCGCCCCCGTGTTGGGAAATGCCGTGGAAAGTGAGGGAAGAATCCAAAACCAAGACATGCAGAGCATCTCCATTTCAGACTTTTCCATTATTCTCAGATAAAGTCTTCCACAACTCTTTCTGACTGTCTGCCTACGGGTGAACACAGACCAGTGAAATTCAAGGGTCTGTCCTTGAACATGCAAGTCGTCCTGAGGAACATGGGGTCAGCGGTGACCAAGTCTGTCAAGCACTGAGCAGGTTCCTGGCAGGGCTGGGTCTGAAATGAATGAATGAAAGGAATGAAAGGTAAAGGAATCCATCTTCACCCCAGCAGTCAAGTGAAAGAAGGTCTTCTCAACCCTTCCATTGTGCAGAATTCCATCTGCTCAAATCTGGCCACGTAAAATGTGCAC